CCCTCATGAGGACTATTTATCAAAAAAAACAAATTTCTCTTTCTTTGAGGGTAAAACAGTAAAAGGAATCCACTCTTGAGGTCTATCTGCAACAATATAACTATAGGGGTTTATCCACAATTAACCTTTGTACATACCTGGTGTTTAATTGTTGTGTACCATTATCGGACATTTTAGGCAATTTCCATCTCCGGCTATCATGCCCGTGCCATGACTATATGTCGTGTCTATATCTATGCTTCTTAGTTCCTAGTTCGATCTCGGACTAGGTTGGTAATAAATCTTATTTTTGGAGCTGATATGACAAAAGGACTCGTAATCAGGAGGTGGAGATAGCTTTCTATCCTCTAAAAAGAAAACAAAAACTAATTTCTATATTCTCTTAAGTTTGAAAGAGATATGAAAAGACACTGAAAGGTTTTTATTCTTGTGGGGAGGGGATGGAAGCAAGATGAGATTTCATCGTCAAAATTTGGGAACCGACTTTAACATACAAGGTTCAATTTGAGCTGACTAGCTAGATTAAAAGTACTACAAAGAAAGATGAGGAACTATATTATTTGATCTGGGTCCTTGCCTTAGTGCGACAGAAATATATTGACCCTAAAAAGGATTGCTTTCAAGTTTAAAGGACCTCACCAATCCAAACTAATCTTGACTGAAACCAGAGGTTATCTGTTCTTTTTATCCTGTATTTGAGCCTCTAGATAGGGCCTGTATCATATTAAAATCTTCATGAAGCTATCGTAACACAACACGTTGTTAATTGTAGAGTCTGGGACAAATTAGTTTCTGTTGACTTCTTCATAGATACATGCATCTATCTTCAACAAACCTAGGCTCCAATTAATCTAGCAATAAGTAGATTTATGCTTCTGCATTACCCTTCCGAAAATACAAAACCATTTTAAATCTTTAATTACTTTTTGATTGTGGACTGGACTTTATATTACATCGGAAGCTGAAAAGCTCCATACGTACAGTATACAGATATGATGGGAGCTTCATGGTTTTCGCTTAATTATCAACATCTACCATGTTTTTTTTTTCTTAATAATGTCCTCATGTGATGATGCCACATGGACTCAGATCTTCGGACTTAAAAATTGTGGAGCTTGGAGGATAACATGATTGGTGAGGAGTTGAGCCTTCCCTTGCCGTAAAATATAATGAATCTATATATGCAGAAACTCATGAGCTGTTGGCCTTGTGAAACGTGCAGTACTGTTAACCTTGCATTACAATATTTTTTTTCGTTGCGTTAGAACTCTTCCTCTCTTAAATGCTTCGAAAATTTTAGTTGCGAGCGAAAATATGATGTAAAAGGCTTGGTAGGTGCGTTTCCATTTCGTCTCGTCATCAGCATCTTAGCACGAGAAAAGCACACCACCCGTCACTCAACTGAACAAAAAGATCCCCTGCTAGCAAACTAAGCCTCCTTAATTAATCTTTTATAGGGTGACATGAGCATTCATATAATGAAGAAATTTTCTAAACAAACCCATTCATATTTTTTTTCTAAAAATAGACCCCCTTGAGTTTTATTTACAAAAATAGACTCATTTTATCTTAATCCGGTTCCTAAATAGTCAGGGTTGTTAACCCCGACTATTTAATTAGATGCCAACCCCGACTATTTAAGAGGTTGTAAACCCCCAATTATAACCCTAAACCCTAACATTTTATGCACTAAATAGTCGGGGTTGACAACCCCGACTATTTAGAAACTGAATTAAGACAAAATGGGTCGATTTTTGTAAAAAAAAAAAACTTAATGGGGTCTATTTTTAGAAAAAAAATTATGAATGTGTTTGTTTAGAAAAATTCTTCTTCGTATAACATATACTGGATTCCTACGAACATTTGAAACGGCTGATAGCGATGGTTTCCGGCCTAGCTAGTAAAGCAAACCTCATCAGTTCCAAATTGAAAAAGGCTCTGAGTGGGTGAGTGGCCTTCTAGAAGCCAAGCCCACAACCAAACCCTTGTTTTCTTACAGCCATCCACTTCATCCGACCCTATGGAAAGAGGCCTCCAAAGGTTTAAAGTAGAAAGGAGATGGATAACGCTCATACACATCGGTAGCCGTGTTGGTATCGGGTGATGTCATCTTGCTACCAACCTCCAACTACCACCCCCATCAGTCCTTTCCCATCTTTGGTTTTGATTGCCAAATAGAGAAAGGCCAAGACGAATACTTTAATTTGGTGGAGTTATTTTATGTTATTTCATTTTTCTTCTTTAATTTGAGATAACGAGGGAATTTATCTCTCCACCCACATATTTGGTGGTCAAATGGGAGTTATCCTCCACCGTTTCAAAGATCCTATCAATTCCTCTGGAGAGAGATAGTGTGCTCTTGGGTGCTTGAGCAAGAAGTGTTGTGCGCGGAAACCACCAATCGTTGTTCTTCGAGGAACCAAACCAAACGCCGAGAGAGAAAACCAAACAATACAAAATAACGGCACAAACACAAACACACCAATTTTATGTGGTTCGGCAAGTTGTCTACGTTTACAGGGCAAGAAGGAGATAGGATTTTACTAATAGAGAAGAAGAATATAAACTGAGATTACAAATCACTCAAACTTATCAATTAATCTCGCCAACAAAGCTCTTAATCTCTCAAACAAAATCCTAACAAATAGCTCCAGAAAAGTCTCTTTTCTGTGCTCCAAATATCCCCACTACTGCTCCAAAGAAACCCTAAAACGTGTTTGTATTTATACCAAACACAAATCCCAAACAGAACAGTAAACCACAATCAGGACCAAACCCGACTGGCGGTCGACCGCCGAAATCATCACGGTCGACTGACCAGGATGACAGAAAACCAAAAAATACATTACAGGGTCCGCGGTCAACCGCACTTGACGTCGGAGTCGACCGACCAGAGATCTGAAACTACACCCTGTAGTGTGCACCTTTCCGGTCGACCGCACTTGACGCCGCGGTCGACCGGCCAGAGCTCAAACTGATTCCTGCTTTTTTTTTCCTGAACTTCATCGCTGTTTTCGCCATTTCTACAAGAAGATGCCTCCACTTTTGAACAACTGTTGCAGACATGTCACAATATTTCAATTGATGGACATTTTACCGGTGGTGCTTCCTTTGTTGGTAGGGGTCAAATGTCACATATCCAATTTGAGCTCACTTGGCACCAAGAGCAGAGACTTATTAATATAAACATTGTGATCCTTTTGGATGTTGTAATGTTACATGACAATAGCATGTTAGGGATGTCACTTCCCTCGGTTGAATGCTAGCATTGCTATATATGGCAGAGAGGAGAGACAAAACAAGGGGTTATGATCACTATTAATTATCATCTTTTAACTTCTGATTTTTTTTTTCTAATTTAGAAGATTACAATTTACGACGATATTAGATAAATCCATATTCAAATTCCACCAGACATACATGCAGATGAACAATGCTACATGGAGAATATTGTTCGACGTTTACCTCAATTTCGGAATTTTATTATAGTGGGAGTTGACATCTAAGAGAAGGGAGCGAAAAAGGAATTGGAGATTATGCTTTCGCCACAAAACGATTGGTATTATAAATCACCTTTCTAATTGATTAGATTTTGCGTATTGGATAAGCTTGAAGGATCCAATTCTTGTTGACATAACTTGTATGCATCGCGCACCAAGTGGCTTAATTGTTGAGAATTATTATTATTTGGCAGTGCCTGAGGACTGCATAATTCATCTATGGGTTTATGTTTTCACTATTAACTAACCTCTCCCCGTTTGTTGGCTTTTGGTGGATTATGTGCATACAAGTAACACTGTTGCATTAGTAACAACAGGGTTGGTAAAAGTAAAGGGCTAATCTTCATAATAGAGAATCCATGCACATGACATTTGATTGAAAGAGACTATCCAACTAATAAGACCTCCGTTAGGCCCACCATATGCTCATGTGCATCCAATCACTTGCCTTTCGTTGAGCATGTAATATTGCATTCTCATCAATTCTCAATATCAGGCACATACTCATTTATATATACTTTTTTTTTGGGGGTTTGATGAATTTAGATCATCTGCTTCACTTGAGGCTGTTTTCTTTGATGAAGATTGAGCTACATAGCTAGATATGCATATTACGTAAATGAATTCACTTTGATGAAGCTCACTCAGTGTCTCCATAAATCAATGGCAGAATTTTTCGGGTTATTTGCACTTAAATACCCCAAAGCTTGCCAACTTCGATACTGTGAAGATCCAATTTATTCAAAAAATATCCCAAATTAAGTTTATTTGCTTTGGTGCCTGGTCAAGTCATTTTAGGATATCGAAGTTTTGTTAAATGCTTTTGAGCTTTGGGGTATTTTTTTGGGAGAAATAACTGTGGAAGTATCAAAGTTAAAAATGATACATGTGAACTTTGGGATATTTAACTGCAAATTAAGAACCCTTTAAAAAAAAAAAAAAATCGAAGCTCACTTGGTCTCTCGATCACCTGGGAGATGAGCATACCAATACCTGCGACCTAAATGACACCCATCATTAAACTATAATGATCCCACCGAACATCACACTCCATATCACATGACAAACCCTGAACAAACCCCCTTAACTAACCAAAGCCCTCTCAACCCTTTATCCCCATCCCTCTCTCTTTATTTAATGCCTTAATGTGATCTGGTCACCCACCCAAAAACACTTCACATGCTTCCCACTCTCCTACGTGACAAAAAGTCCTCGACTCTGATCAGATCAGATGCTCTCCCCTCTCAAAAACACCAACAAAACACCACCATCGAGCTTTCACACTGATCCTAATGTGAAAGCCTATCGCTCTGCATCAAAACTCTAAAGTTATCCGCGGTCCAGAGCTAATATAGCCTTGTTTGCTAACGTATACTGGGTTTATTTATACCGTGAATTTGGATTGCTCTGATACCCCCAGGTGCATCAGAAAACTGAAGTTAGTGAGATTTATGTGTTAACTATAATTCTATCGTCCAGTACACACAACTTCTTTAATCCTTATCCAACTTTGCCATGCCTTTTCAGCGCCAGAACAAAATGTACAGAGTGCAGACATAAATAAACATGCAAACGCCACCAACCCCCCCCATGTGAAACTTAAAACTTCAAGAATATATGTTACCTCTTTTACTTTCCTCCTCCCTCCTTTTTTTAATTTTTTTTTTCCTTCCTCTTTTCCAAATCTCAGCAGGTACAGTACAAGCCTAACCAAAATCTAAGCATTGAAACCATCCTCTACCGGCCTGTAGTATCTAAACAGATTTGGGTTCTGGATGCGCTGGCAGTTGCAGGCCTCGCTGTTCTGAAACCCTAGGTTGTAGCAGAAGCAGATGGCGTGGCTGTAGTTCGTTGCTTCCGTGGTTGTTTTCGTTGCTAACAATTCTGCCGCCGTGGTTGCTAATGTTTTTGAAGATTGGGACGGTTTCGGAGAGTACTGGTGATCGTCGTACGGCAGGCTAATGGATAAATCGAGGTTGAGTCCGACGAGGCCTTGGCGATGTTTCCTTGTGCTACGACCGGGACCTCTTGTTTTTGTGGCGCGGCCGGAAAGGGGAGAGGCCCATTTAGCGGTCTGTGGGTCTGAGGATCCAGACCGCGGTTTAGGAGCTTGCGCTTGATGTGCGTGTTCCAGTAGTTCTTGATCTCGTTATCTGTTCGTCCGGGTAATCTGCCCGCGATAAGTGACCATCTGCAGAACAAAAAAATCAATGATCGATACCGTTAAATATATATCGCAGGGGGGGGATTTAATTAATTTGTCCCCATCTGTTCTTGATAGATTTTTGTTAGTAAATAACGAAAAGCGCGTTCGAGGCAGGTTGCGTTGCTTACTTGTTCCCGAGCAAACCGTGGAGTTTGATGATGAGCTCGTCCTCTTCCTCCGTAAAATTGCCTCGCTTGAGATCAGGTCGGAGATAGTTTATCCATCGTAGACGACAACTCTTTCCACATCGAAGCAAGCCTATAAACAGGTAATTTTACATCAGACACATGATAACATAAGAACTGTTGAAAAGTACTCAAAAAAAAAAAATTATTTCAAATTAAGGAATTATAATACCTGCAGCTTTAGGGAGAGATCTCCAGCACCCTTCGCCGTGAGCCTTGATGTAAGCTATCAGTCTCTGATCCTCCTCTTTAGTCCAAGCTCCTTTGTTCGTGTGAGCTTTCTCGCAGCATGGAGACCTCCCCATGTTTTGTATTTTGGATTTTTTTTTTGGATTAACGAGTGGAAGAGGAGGGGAGGAGGGTGAGTGAGATTTATAAGGGAGGGGAGGGTTGCGAGCCCACATTGACTCTACTTGGCTTAGGCCCATTTGACCGAGTTGGTGGGATGAGCTAGTCTAGGCTATGGTGGTGGTTACAAAACCCGGGACCCTTGGATTTGGTAGGTAGGTGTAACTTTATGAGAGTGTGTCTTGTTGCGCGCACCCCCCCATTTCTTTATTCAATCCTCTCCTAGTTTCAATTAGGGGTTTTGCTTATAAGCCCAAAGTCATGTCCCCATTGACTTAAAAACCCACTCGGTTCTACATGTTCTCATACCCCCCCCCACCCCCCAACAATGGAGTTTAAAGCCAAAGTATAATAGAATACGAAGTGTAGAGTTACGTATTATATTATACGGTGTATGACTACATACTATAGGATGTGCGGCTACGTGCTTTAATTAGGACAGTGACGTAGTCAGGATTTTTTTTTTTTTTTTTTTTTGCCCTAGGCGAAAAATAAAGTATGTTAATAATTATAGATGTTGTACATATATTTACATAAAACATTACATGGTCAATTCTTTTCTTTCTTTTGAAACACTAGTGGGAGCTAAATTGTGCCCGTGGAGAAAATAAATATACTAATTGACATTCCGATTCTATGTCAAGAGATCACATCTGACGACAAGTTTCAAGTTGTTGGCTTGTGAACTAATAATGTATCAAACTTAATAAGTCAATGCTAATTAGTGTTTGTGATCTTTGTACAGGTGGTGACCTTCGGCCACTTTCTTGCCCTGGCCAGCTGCCCAGGGCAAGCCTT